AAGAGGAAAAAAAACACAGAGGAAGTTTTGAGTTTGCATTAACTGTTGAAAATAATTAGGAGTCTGCCACCAATAAGATTTTTCTGCCCCTGGGTTAAATACTGTAAATACCACTATTTATACAGCATTAGATTGTCAATACTGCTGCTACAACGTGTCAATAGTGTTTACTGCTGTGGCCAGTGAAGGTGAAGTGAGTGTGAACTGCTCTACAAACAGCAGAAAAGAGGTTTTTTTTTTTTTTTTTTGCAATGATAAAAGAACTGCTCTACAAACAGCAGAAAAGAGGAGAAAAAATCCTACAGTGCACCACAAACAAAAACGTCAAACAGAGAGAATTATTTTCTGTCTGTTTTCAGTAAATCAGTATCCACACATGCATATAGTGATATGGACTCAGTAACATTACATCATCCTGAAAGTGACGTCCTGGTTATAAAGTTGTTAACCCTTCACTGACAAATGTCTTACTATAACAGCTTAGCCTAAATCAGTGAGAGGCAGAAGTGGCCTCAATTCCATAAAATAACCTTTGTAGCTTATTTCCACACCATGTCTGCTTAAAGGATGGGACATTCATTAGAATGGCACAGTTTTTAAAGAGAAAATATGAAATAAAACTGCTGTATAATCAGGGCCTGTGATGAATTATGTAGAGAAACTCTGCTTCACATCAATGAGCCCTTCTTTAGCTGGTGCAATTAAACAGTAAACCGCACCACCATATTTTTTTTAATTAAAATGAGAGATAACTTATGAACATACATTTATGACACAATAGCCAGTGTACACTCAGGCTATCAGATAGAGCTCAGCCGCCGTCAAAGATACGAGCTCTCCCATCTATACTGCGCAGGCTCGTGTTTACCTACACGTACCTTCTCTGACCTTTTTCTGGTGTAGATTTCCAGCATCTGGTCCATACAATATTGTTTCATAAAAAAAGGTGATTAAAATTCAATTCCTAAATTGGTGTGTGAGCCCTGCTGTAATGCTAAAGATTAATTTGCCGGCGTTAGGCTGACGGGAATTGCTTTAATAGGATTCACATTAGAGAGGGCCTCAGGGGGGCAGCGTTGCAGCCCTACTTGATGCAGGAAGTAAAATTAATTAAAAACAATAATCATGTAATTCTGCTCATTACTGTCCTTCCCGATGGTAGCCCTTTATGCTGGTGTGTCTTTTTGATCTATGTCAGATAGCAAGGTTCTCGCTCAGGGCTGGGGAAGTGGCACGGTTGCATCAGAAAAGGTGTCGTGAACAATGTCGGATGGAAGTGAAGGATGCTGGGATTAAAGATTCCTCATCATCTGTGCTAAAGTGTAGCTTGAGTGTAACTCTCACTCTGACAAACAGTGGTATCTAGGACAGGAGGCTGCTGTGTACCTCTCTCCCTTTATTCTCCTTGTTTACTCTTCCCCTCATGCCCCTGCACCACGCCAAGTCACTTTGACTAAGAACATTAGGGTGTCACAGCTTGGGATTTGGCGTTTGCTATTCTATTAGTGTGACAATTCTGAATGCACACGTCTTCCGCTCCCTCCACCTCACCTCCTGGCGTAGCCCTGGCCAGTCAACAGATGCAGATTTTTACATATCAAAGCTGTTGACTTGCCAGAGTCTTTCTTCACGCCTCTAATACTCTTTGCTTCAGAGGACTGTACCTCAGTCCCCTGATCAAGTTACTAAACGCGGCACTGCACATGGCTCACCACCAAAGGCGGGTTGCTCACGCTGAGACCTGGAAGTGGAGGCGAGAAAAGCATCTCAGAGGGATTGGCTGATGCTTACACACTGCGAGATCGGCCAAGTGAAGAAATTGGAGGGGGGGCATTCCAACGGACGCACCGAGCACACAACAAATAGAAAGCTGAATTGTGTAAATGAAGTCGAGCCGAGTCAAGCTGAGGACGACGTGGAAAGGTCTCTGGATTTGGAAAGGGAACTACAGTGGTATGACGATGTGCACACGTCGTCATATTTGCCAAATATACTTCAATTGTGTCAAAGAAATTATGAGGAACTCCTGTGCTTTTTAAGTGGCTTTGGGTTCAACATTAATGGGTGAAAGTCGGATGGGAAAAATTGGCAGTGAAGCAAAAGCACTGTACAATGATTGATTTACCAATAGCTCAGCTCCAATAAGCCTCTTCGTTGTATGGTGTGTTTGCTAATGAACAGATGAAAGGGCTGTACCACATCACAAACTGTAATGCTTTATAAATAATATCCTACATTCATATTTGCATTATTCAAGTAAATGCTGCTTGAAACAGCTGAGCGTGTCCTTAAGTCACATGTCCTACTTTGATGATGCAATGACAAACCCGAATGCATGAACACTTTCTCAATACAGTAAACAGTTTTGATAATTTACTAAAAAAAAAACCAAAGGTGTGAAACACATTTCTCTCCCTGTTGAAATGTGTCTTTCTAATCCTGATATAGAGCGAAAAAAAATGTTTCTGTCACATTTTGGATACTGACTTTTTGGTAATAATTCACAGCTATCCTAGGATTAATCAGATTAAATAATTAATCGTTTGACAGCCCTGAGTGCTTTGCAAAATACTAAAAGGATGTGAGTGTTATCATACTCTTCTCTTTCTCAACCAGCAGCAAATCTACTTCAACCAAGTGTCACCAACAGCTATCGCTCCCTGTACTTGACCTCTGTCCTCTCTCTTGAAGAGACGTAGGGGAAGAGCGCGATAGAATGCGACCTTTCTTGCTGCATGACAGCAGAAAAAAAAAATCTTTCCCAGCAAATATGGATTTTGACCTCTGCTGTGAAAAGAGGTCGTTGAAAGGCTGTAGGCCCTCATTACAAATTATACCTTTACCGTTCCAAATGACAGCTTTTTTTTTAGCTTATTTGACTGTGTACGTTGACTGAGCTGAAAGCACCTAATGAATTTTAAACCCTGGACTTCAGGCTTTTAGTATTCACCGTCGCTATTAAAGGCTGGCTGGATTTATGGTCTCAGGGTCTCGTTCCACATCTCCTCCCCTGAGATCATCTGTCATACAAGACAAAGAGGCAGCTGCCGAAGAAGTCAAACAGTTTTTCTTTGCCATTCTTTGTTTTTCTTATGTGTTTCTGCCTTGTCATCTTTTATAGTGAGTCGTATTTCACATTTGTTTCAGATTGAGGCTGAAATGTTCCTAACCACTGATTTGAGCAGACTGCATTCAAGTTTTGTTTTCACTGTTTGAAAATGTTTCATCTTTTTTTACCTGATGTTCGTTTATGTGCTTTAACTGCAGATAATGGAGGGAAAGATGTTGCACTTAATTGCCAGCATTTTGACCCCATCTTCATTGAGATTTCCCAGTGCAGCACATAGTGTTTGGGCTCTTTTTTTCAACTAATTTTTATATCCGCAATACAGCAGTGTAGTGTTTTTGACATTTTCTTATTAATGATGTGTGTATCGTAGCAAAAGGATACCATTAAAATGTTCTTCTCTGTCACTGTGTTTTGGGAAGAAATGCTGCCATAAACATGACAAAGAAGGTTTGCTTCATCTGTGTGAAAAGACTTGGCAAATATGCAAAGAAACATAGGCTCTAACTTTAAAGATGCTGCTCTGGCAGGCAAACCTAATGCATCGGGATAATGATGTATGCAAGCAAAGAATAGCACGTCCGCAGAGAACGCAGAGCCTTAGCGGGGACTCGCACCTCACCATCGCGGCAACGTTAATCGTGACCTAAAGCATATATTTTATGCTTCAAATCTATTCTTATGCATGTAATTACAGGGACTGTGTGACCTACAACAGAGTGCTGTGTCTGAAAACAAACCTGTGAAGATGCAAATGGAGCCTCAGAGCTGCTGCGTATACTGAGTTCAGAAATTTCGTTTTACCATGTAAACACACGGGATTTTTTTTTTTTTGACAGTAGAAAAAAATATATCTTTTGTCATTTTGAATTGCAAATATTCCAGACTTTCTCATTTATTTGAATAGCACGCTGTGAGTTCAACTAAATGCTATTTCCTTCTTGGCAGGGCTTGCGTGAATTTGTGTCTTTTCTCCTGCTCTCTTATCTGCCGATGAATCTGTGATAGTGCATGCAAGAAAAAAACATTTCAGAAATAATGCAGATTTGTTGCTGCTAATCAAAACAGTTCGGACAGTAATGGTGTGTTTGCCTTTTACGCTGCTGTGTAACCGGCTGCTGCGATGAGGTCGATGATAATATAGTTTGTGTCCTGCTGCTCTCTAAACAACAGTAGCATCACGGTCACCTAAAGCTACTTGGGGCAGTGAAATGCTCAATTGAGGAGGAAGAGCAAAGGGCAAAAGGAGCAAATCTACTTCAATTTGTTTTAATGGTTAAAGTAGCGACGCATTTCAAATTTGCCAGTTAAACAAGGGTTAAATATGAGATTAAACTGGTGAGGAAGAGCCTCGTGACAGTGATAATAACAATAATAAGTTACAGCAAAAGTAGCTAATTAATGAAGTCGAATTAGAGCCACACTCTTAACTTTCAAAGTGTCAGCATTGGTGCAGAGCCAAACTAAAAACCTATGAAATTGGCTGTCATTACTACATAATAAAAAAAGTTGAATTTTTTGTATTTATTTAGTTCAGTCTTTATACAGTTTAATCTTCCCTTCTCCCACTCTCCTCCTTCTCTGTCATCAGACTGATGATTTGTGTTGAGAGGGCAAACAGCAGGTTTGTTCCCATGAGTCCTTTTTATAATACAATGGACTGTTCACTTTTTGATAGTTTTTGGCAGAATAATGGTGCGGACGTGTCAGTCAGCATTTACTGGGTTACACGCCACACATTTCACAGTTTCTTCCAAGATTATGGTAAACTGAGAGAGAAGAATGAGAGAATTACCAAAGTAGGCCATGAGGAAAAACAATGAAGCTCTGGCTTTTTTTTTTTTTTTTTTTCTTCAATTTCTTGTAGTCACATTCCAGAGAATGGTAAGTGGCCTACATGGATCACTTTAATTGTCCTTCATTCCATCATCCATTCCTATTTAGGGGAAAGAAACCTCCACAGCCTTTGCAATAGAGATGGTGCTTTAAATCTCTGACATTCAGTTGCAAATATCCCCGTTTTATCTCTAGGAACAGTTTTAAAACGAATTCTTGAGGGAATAAATTAGCTGCTTATTAATTAGCCGTTAAGCCACCTTGGAAATGTCACTTCATAAAAGACAACAGGTTTCGTAGTTAGTTACAGCAGCAGGCGGTCCAAACCCTGGAGATATCCACTCACACAAACACACCCACAGGTCCTCACACACACGGTCACATGGCATACATACACAAACATAGAGCTGGACTTGTATGTTTGTTAAGACATTGACTAACAGAGTCATTTCTTAGTGGTTTAAATGAATCTCAGCTTTAACTGCAGTTCTAAAACAACACAGAAAAAACTGCAGCCCTACTATAAATTAACTACAGGTGTGAATGCGAATTGTGACTCAACATGTGATCCTGTGATGGACTGGTGAACAGTCCATTTGGCTCGGCTCCGACTCACCCACTTGCCCGACAGATAAGGACTGAGTGGTAGAAGACAAAGGGAATTTTCCTCAGCTCACAAATATATGAAAACACATACAAACAAACAAGAGCGACATCACTATCTAGGGGTTTGCGCCTTATATTACTTCTGCTCCGTTCACTCAACTGAACAATATCTTCAGAGCTGAGACCAGTGTGGGACTGGGATCATATTACTGCGTTAGGTAAAACAATGAAAGGGAAGAATGGTAAGTGTTCAATGTAGTTCATACGGGACGAGAACCCATGACGAATATTTACACTGTGAACGCGGAAAATGCATCACTGGAGACGAAGCCTTTATCGCTGCACACACACACAAACAAACAAACTGGAGCTCTAGTTCTACTTACATTGAACGATCAGCTCCACCACAGCCTCTCGGGGCTTCACGTTGAAACCATTATACTGACTGGTCTGGCAGCGGTAGGAGCCCGTCATCTCCCTGGACACGTTAACGATGCGCAGCACGCCGTCGTAGCTCTCCATCTGCATGTTGCCGTCCGGCATTGGCGCCTCCTTATCTGCTCGGGACCACAGGATGATGGGCTTGGGCTTTCCTGAAACAAGGCACTCCAGCTCCACAGTGTCACCCTCTCGGGCCACCAGGGGGGACTTGCCCCGGGGTACTGTCAGGTTTGGGGGAACTAAGAAAGAGAAAAACAGAGGAGGGACTGATATGGGGCTCTAGAAAGTCAGCAGGCTGGACAAGAGTCAGTGGTCAACTGCAGGGAGAGGGATGGAGGCTACAGATGAACATCCAGGTTTCAATGGAAATGAATCTTGTATCTCTGACAATATTTTGTATGTGAAACGCATGCAAACATCGTAACTGTTAGTCTTGATGATGCTAGCGTTTACCCTTGGTGTATGGAGAGCGGCAGCGAAAAAAACAACAGCAAACAGTGAAGAGTGACATTAAGAGATGTGAAGCAAATGCACTCTGTTAGACTGAAAGATCATTTAACAGAAAACATCCAGGAAGAACCGCAAAAACTAAAAATGGAAAATAAATATCCTCTGCCTTGTTTGGGTTTCTGCAGCTAACACACATAAACAGCATTCATTTTATATCTAAAGACAATGCCACTGTGTTAGCCCCATTCTTCACAATAATGGAAAAACAATGCACACAGTACTGAGTTTTTCTTGTTTCATATTCCCCGGGTGTTCTACGGCTGTTTTTCAGTTGTTTTTCTGTTACCAGCTCTTTAAAAGTTTAAATAATGTATAATTAAAAAGTGATCTGACATTCTGGAAAGAAACGGTCAGAAACCACAGTCCCCAAGAATAAAAAAAAGAAAAGAAAAGCTGTATATTTTACATAAAAACACAGCTCTTTCAAAATATCAACTTTAATTTGTTTGACTTTCGCCATTGTCCCAGCACTTTTTGAAGACCAATACGACCACTCTGCAGCTCTTTACCTTCGTGCCCTCCTCCTCAGGGAACGACTCAGCCTCATCCCCTGCATCACCTAATTGAGAGCATTTACAACAGAACACTTCGGAGCAGGTATAGCATTAAGGCTGGCAACGTTACAAAATATGACCTAATAAATACTTTGTCCTTGTTTAACAGACATTTTAGAGCCTAGCTGTAAGTTAGGGATGAATAATAGAAGAGGTGCAAAGAGCCAAATTGCAAGATAGATCTCTCCCCTCCCTCACTTCTTCTCTTTCTCCCCATCTACCTCTCTCTCTGAGTGTAAGTGTGTATCCCCTAAGTTTGGAGAGTGGAAAAACTAACAGGTTGGATTGGGCAGTCTGGTTCCTCATCAACATGCTGGCCAAGTAAATTTGTTTAATTAGTAAACCTGGCAAATTGCATCAGCTCCTAGATTGCTGTGTGTATCTGTGTGTTCATGGATTTTATGTGTGTCCAAAACAATCAGTGCAGTCCAAGTCTATTTTGTACCACTGCTCCCAAAAATAGTTTACAGCCAGCGTTTCGAGGAGCGAAAAATCTCAGCAATGATGAAACCATGTCATGGTTCCCCGGATGGTTTTCGAATCACTGTCATTCTGCCCAAACAATGCTGCAGCTGGAATGAAGTCAATCCACGCTGACATTTTGTAGTGATGAAATCGCCGGCAATTTCTAGAAACAAAACCGAGTCCAGTTAAATTTCTTTTGACCCCATTTCTGTCTGGGTGAGAAGTAACAATCCTCCTGTCATCTCAGCTGTGTAGATGTTGTTCATTCCTTTTGAACCTGAAGTGACTCAGAGAAAGACTTCCTGCCAACAGTGCGCTGTACCTAAACAAGTATTTCTTTTAACCACAAACACTAGACAACTTCAACAAAGTGTTCAACAACACTGCCAGAGAAATGTAATATTTTTTTTCCCATTTACATCAACAAAGGTCTGTATCACATTTAGCTGTAGTGGGATCTAATATATAAAATCCTCTACTGTTGATTTAAGAAGCCTGATCTCCACAGCCAAACTGAAAGACAACAGAATTACTCATCCAATTTAGCAGTAATTAAACATTTTAAGAACAATGAATCAGGCAAACTGAGAATCAGCAGACGTCCAATTTCATTTTTTCAGTGCTATTCATTTTTAATCGACACTGTTAATGAATTAGAAACGGACACAATCACTGTAATCCCACACTGGAAGTTGCAGTGATTCATCTTTGCAAACATCCAAAAAAAAATCCACACTTCTTAGTGAGCTCACCCTCATCAGTAATATCAGTAAAGCAGCAGATTGAAATGTAATGAACGTAACTGAAACTGCTATTTCAAAACTGCTATTTTAAAGGAAACACTGTTATTATGGAGAAAATCCCAATCTGACTTCCCAGCCTTTGTTACCTGCGTGTTTGGCTGCTCACCAGTCGGTCCAACATCTGTCAAGACCATTTTAGGTAAATCCATACACCCTGGTGTCGTAGGCACTGGATGATGGAGCATGGTCATTCACAGATAAATCTTGGCAATGCTGTTTGGCAACAAAAATAATCTCCGCAGGGACGACAACAGTGGATACTCATTTCGTTGCTGATTGGTATTCAGACTGTGTGTTGAGCCAGCCAGCCAGGTGTCAAGAGCTGACATATTTCCTTCCACAGCATATTTTCTGTCTCTTTTTTATCCAACAACTCCTTGGGTCCAAACATTGAAATGGCAAATTGACAGCAGCAGGGTAGGTGGGGAGCAGCGAGCATCCATTAGTGAGTGGAGGAGAGGTGAATTCGCAGAGTTGCCGTCATTACCACCTGGAACTCTCCACTACCCAGATTGGACAGGCAGTTAAGGCTGTCTGCGTATGGAGTTTGGCAGCACAACACTAGCTATCAGCTGCCATTGTCACTCTTCGCAGCATCACGCAGAGGCAAACGTAAACAGACGTATAGTAGCTGCATACAGAGCTTCTCTCTCTGGCTCCGTCTCTCCATGTGAACACCCTTCCTCTGTGTGTTACACTGACCGCTGAGATTCTCTGAGTGGCACAGAGCCCGCAACTGGTCCTTACTGTGCGCATTGTGCCAAAGCCATCGGAATGCTAGAGATGCCTGCAGGGCACGCCTGCTGTGTGCGTATGGTTGTGTAGTGTGTGCTTCAAGGTTTTTATGTTTTTGTATGTGTGTGTGTTTAAAGCTGAGCGTTTCTCTCCTCACCCATGGGTGACAGCACGCTGTGATCCTCATTCTGTTTCTCCACAGGATTCTCTTCATTGTTGGTACTGACTGCAAACAGCATCTCTCTTTCTGTCTCTTCTCTTCTTCTTGTTTGTGCAGAATTTTTCTTCTCTATGTTTTTTTTTTCATGCCAAATTTAAGACTGGACTTCCCTGTTTAGCCTCAGCAGGACTTCACAACTCTGGGGTCCCAGCTGGAGTGTGTAGGCTGATTGCCGGGGGGTCTGACAGCAGGATCCATCAGCCATAGCGGTGTCTGCCTCGGTAGACACAGTGCAATGTGAGCTGACTGCAAAACATGGAAGTGCCTGTTTTTCCTTTTTTTTTATTTTACAGCAACATCAGCCAGGATGAGTGGTGCACGTAGACGTCTTTGAGAATAAACAACGTCCCTGCTGCTCCCTTTTCTGGTGAGTCCTGTGACATCATTCCCTATCACCATGGCAACAGCTCTCACCACTACTGCAACTCGAGCCGAGAGTGTGTGTCCATGTGTAAGAGTATGTTTGGACAGCTAGAGGCCAACGACTTGGTCATGAGGTGACAGGACACCGTGCTCCTCTGAGAGCTGGACCCCTGGAAACAGAAACATGAATGGTGCTGCTGCTGCTGCTGCTGCTGCTCCAGTGTGGGTTTGTTTGTGCTTCTGTATGTGTGGGACAGCTGTGGCTACACAACAATTTACTGTCAAGTAATAGATGTCAGCAGATGTGTGAAATTGTCTCAGTGCAGTGACTAGTGCGAGGAAGACGCTGACATATCACATTGTCCCAAAGGAATCCATAGGTCATCCTGTGATGAATAACATCAACATTGAACCCATGTGATTTTTTTCAGCCAAACTGAACTCCTGGGCTGTACTTGACCACTGAATTAAAATGATGCCTGACTGTTCCAGCTTGTTGTCTAATACAGGATTTGTCAGGACAGTGTTCCAGCTGTGGGGCAGCTGCTGTGGCTTCCTCTCCAAGTTCACAGCTTGCAAGTCAAACTGGCAAACACTTCTGGGATCCTAACGGTGACAGGGACTGTACTTTTTGTAATCCTATTGACACTAGTCTTCATCTAGACTTCACCTTTTTTCAGTACGTTGTGATGCTGCAGCTGATTATTTAGAAACTCTCTTCAACTAAACAGAAGTTCTGAACACGTGTGTCGCAAAATACTGCATTTAAAAAACACAAACTGAGCTTCAAAAAATGCACTCATGTTAATGAGCGAGACTGCAGTATGTTAACTACCTATTGTTGCTTTTCAACAAGGAGCACATTGATGTACTACACCAGCTTGTGGTAATTGTATGACGGTACAATGTCTGGCAGTGTCACCTCAAAAAAACCTCCTGTCTGAACATCTTCACATTATTTCTTTTTTATGATTTCTCAGTGCAATGATTATTAATCATTCACCATAATCTAGAAACTCTCCGTTGAACCTTTGAGGACATTTTTCTTTAGAAAATGTTTTTTTCTTTTTCAAACTGAGCTCAGTGTTTTAGCTATTCCATTGGATCTCGCTGCACACAACAAAGGGCAAAAGGAGACAACAAATATCAAACAACATCAAAAAATGAACAATGTTCAGGGAAAATCACTTGATTATTTGAACAGAACACAAAACTATTTGAACACAAAAATGGAAAAACAGGTTAAAGAAAATAAAGTTACTGTTGAACATGTCACTTTCTTACACGGAAGTTGCAGCCAGACTCCTACAGCAAAATAGCATTTGCGTGCAAATTATACGTACATTTCTTATTTAGTTAAAATATAAGCATCTGCATGAGTGGAGGTCTATAATAAAAATCAAGTCAGTCATTTAAATAACAAAGGAAAAATATGAAGATCAAATTAAAAACAAGAATTGATTTTAACTGCAAATTACATTTTGCAAATGACATCCTTATCATTACAGTAAAATCACACAACAATAGAAAGTTTCTGGACTTTTATCTTTGTTAGATACTGTGTGTCACAGTCACAGACGTGATGGCAGCTCACAGTGAATTCAAGTCAATGAGACAACAGCCAAAAGGCTGGACAGGCAGAGATGTGCACGTCTGAAAATACTGTAGCTTCAGATGACTCATTCCAGAAACACAAAAAGCCATTGTGTTTATCAAACTTCCTCATTTTTTATTCATACTGAGCGCTTAATTGATTTGTTTAATTCATTAACCGCAGCAATTCTTGAGAGTGACGACGACGCTGGGTGCTAATTGAGGGACTCATCGCGGAGGGATTTATTCGCCCCGAGAGATGAGAGAGGTGACTTTCACTCCTAATACGTACACCGCTGTCGTCAATCAGACTGGAAATGAGCTGCTGTCATATCTGGACGGAACAAAAAATGCTGCAGCAGCACTTCCTGTGCGAATGTACGTCTGGTGTCCCTCACTAGGACATGATCAAGGTCTCTTTTTTTGGACTCTTTTAAGATCACATGTAAAAATGTATTTAACCACAACAGGTCACAGGGGGCAAAAACAGTCCGGTGTCAGAGGAGCAAAGTTGAAGGTATTTGGGATGTTTCATGTTTTTTTTTTTTAACCCTCCTGGCGACCCCTCTCAGCTGCTCTTGTCCCTCATTAGTCTTAATCCTGACAGTATTTAAAAGGGAACACTGCATTCTCATCTTCAAAAAATCACTGATGATTAAGCATTACTGTAACGTTCGCTGAAAACCCTGACAAGCACAGAGAGTTGCATATTTAATCAGGGCGGCATGAAAGTAAATAAAATTGCTGTTATGTTAAAGGCAGAAATTATGAAAGCTGTGGGACTGTGTGTTCATCAAGACTTCAAAGAAAACACCATGGTAAATATTCTCTTTTATGGAGATGTTTTTTGTGGCAGGAGCTGAGCCCTGGTTTGGAATCTTGATGTGAAGATTAGGCGGCAGCGCCACTGAGCATCAGTTAGATGAGAAACACTTTCAGCTTAGTTGATTACCAACCACTTCTACAGCACTAAGGACCAGCAGACCTAAAGTGTAATCTCCTCCGAAGGCCTTTTAATTGCAGGTCAGACTTTTAACTTCAAGAGAACAGGTAGAGAAACGACAACTAACAACTGGGCTTTTCACTCCAAAGACACAGCAGGGCTGTGGCAAGGCCCAAAGACGGGGTGTTTTAGGACACAAACACAAACTACTCTACTTCTTTTTCAACAATGAATTCAACTGAATTAATAAAACAACCTGTTTTCGGCCACTGACAAACATACACACACACGTGTTATGGGAATAATCTTATCGTGAAAGACAATTATATTTGAACAGCTAAGCCTTTCACTCCATTAAATCAGTTTTTGCCTCTTCATTAAAACAGCAGCATTTACTTTACATTTTAATTCAGTGGCGTCGCCCAGAGACACCAAGATTAAAGACGGCACTAGTTTCAAGATAATGAGAAAAGAAAATTGGCATGTGCAAAAGATCCTAATGTTTTATGGTACAGGAATTATTAAGGGACTATCTACCAATATGTGTGTGCCCGAGGTGGCCACATTGATTTATTGATTATGTAAAGAACTGCAGAGAGGTGGATGTACGATAGGAAAATCAAGATTCAGAGAGCGGTGTATGCGAACGGTGAGGCATTAGACATGGAATCAAACGCAACTCCACACTCGTGACTTACAACAAATTCTTTCTGCAAGAAAAAAACAACTAAACTAGGGTTCTAGTTTAGCCAATAGGAGTTGGACTTACATAAAATACAGACTAGGCATCAGCAAACAGAAAACTCTCAACAATGCATCCACGAGTCAATTTCTGGCCCTCTAATAACACCATGTCACCAATGACAAACAGATTATTGTCATCAAAATGTCTCTGCACCATTTAAAATGTAACATCAATATTTAAGCAATTTGAGCCTGCCTTTTATAAATACAAGTTTTAATGAAAAGACAAGGACATGCCGCTGAGACATTGGACTCATTCTCATGGTTGAAATGACTATTGGTTGAAGTGACCTGCGTGAACAGGGTGGACGGATATGTAGCGTTAATAACATGCTGTGTTCATGTAAACAAATGTTAGTCAACGGTGGAAGCAGCCAGTTAGATGAAAGGACGATGCACGGTGAGTCTCTCATTAGCTGGACTGATGGAGTCAGCTCTGGTTCACGGGAATCCAATTAAACACACAATGCAAAACAACGGGATACCGTGAGATCAATTAAACACACAATGCAAAACAACGGCGTCAGTGCCGGGATACCGTGAGATGTGCGGCAACCGAATATTCAATAGCAAACGGTGTTCCATGATTCTCCTTCAGCCTGCAGTGTAATACTGACAGGTGATCAAAGTGAAAAAACAGTCGTCTAATGAGGAACGATACACGTTTTTAACCTGCTGACACTGTCCACCAGGAGCATTAAAATGTGGGGAAAGTTGGGTCAATTAAAGCTCAGTTAAGGTAAAATGGCTCTTAGAAAGTGGATAACGACAATTTTAACTTGAGAAGCCTAAATAATTTTAAATAGTAGTAAAATGACAGTTTCTTCCCTTGTTAGGGACGGTGTGTAAATGTTCCACTGACACCAGGGTACATGAGACTCACCAGTAGTGGAGGAGATGTTGACGTCAATGCTGATCTCAGGGATGCCTCCTCCCTTCAGTGCTGCCACACAGGTGTACGTGCCAAAGTCTGTGAATTTGAGGTCTATGATGTCCAGGTTGGTGGTCCCAGGGGAGATGTCGGGGTCCGTCTGGGTAATGACCATTCGCTCTGAGCTGCGGAGAGCACGGCCGTTCTTCAGCCAGCTGAACGTTAGCTCTTCTGGCGGTGTCGCCTCCACCTACAGCATGATACAAGATGATGAGTTTCTTTAACTTACATTATAGTTTACAGTTGACTCTAACATTGTTTTCTTTCTTCCATTTCACCTGACAAGATATCTTGACTTCTCTCCCAATCTGGATGTTGTCGTCATTGTGGTAGGGGTCAGGAGTGATCCAGAATCTGCCCTTCTTCAAAGCTGAAGAGAGACACATTTTATCAAAAAATGAAAAATGAAAAAACAGGTATTTATTACTTTGAAATAAACTGTCACCAGGATTTTCCTAAAGTACTGTTAGCACAGTTAGTTTAAATGTTTTAGTTCAGGGCTGAGGCCGTGAAAGCGTAAAAAGATTACGCCGTAGTTTAAACCAAAAAACGAAGGATTAGTCAGTGATATGACATCTGTTACTGTGCTCTAAAAAAGACAGCAACTCAAAGCACAGCTTTTGATGCAGCTGATACCCACAGTCAGAATCCAACAGCACTCCACCTGGCGCACACACACACGCGTGCTCACACACAGGCACACGTAGTAAAACTGGAAAGATACCTTACAAAACAGCCACCATTTCTAATCCAATTTATTTAGCAAACTCCATTTCCAAAGCCCTGCCTCTATAAACAGCCAGATGATTTCATCATAATGCACGCTGCATTGGTTCCAAACCCTGCGTCTATTGTGCGATTCATCTCCTCGGCAAAAAAAAAGCTGACGGCACCATGAAAATCTTTTCATCTAGCAATTCCCGAGTGACATTATCTTATTCAGTTTGGTAAAGGCAAAATGAAAACAAAACCTCCGTGTCAGATTTATACACAGGAAATTGAACGTGCAAAACATTGTGATGGCTGTCGAGCTGCAGATTCAGGGTCAAGACGAGCGACACCCGCCCCCTCTCCTCTCCTCCTCCCCCAGGGTGACGTGATGTTCCTTGTCACGTTGAAGTTAGTGTCGGCAGGTAGAGAATCCTGCTCCTGACATTTGTCAGAAAAACACAAGTCAGTCAGGTTTAATGAACCAACTCTCAATGCAAAAGTGCATTTGCATTTCTACTTGTGTGTAATATATACAAATATAAATTCCCATTCTCCTAGGTGCTGTCCAACCGTCATATCCTGTATAATTTAGCAGTACTGGGTTGGAGATTGTGGTAATTACCATAATACTGCATGCAGCATATGAGTGACCTTTATGAATATGAAGGTAATTCGGGGCATCGCAAGCAACCCATGTTTATTTCCCATTTGGGCCGTGTTTTTGCATCATTGTATTTCTTTACCATGGCCACAGCAACATTCAATTGACTAAAAGAGAGCATGCAAAGAATGAGGTTAATAAGAAGAAAATATTTCTATGGTGAAAGCTATTAAGTGAGTCAGTCTGACAGGAAACACTTATTTCCCTTCATTCATTCATGTCAGGCGGCAGAAACACCGGGAAACAGAGTTGTTCTTCAAAAGACTGTGACGGGTTGAAAAGGCTTTTCAAAGATAAGCAGCCACACTGGTAACTGTGAGTGACTGTGCTGTCACAAATGACAGCAGATAAACATGTGTGACAGGAAAAATAGTTAAAAAAATAAATAAAAACTGAATTTTTTTTTGTGTGACTGAAGATAAATGTTAAAAACAATAACTGCCACTGCATTTTAGTAGTTGGTTTTCATTGATTCAGTCCCAAAATGGACTTTGGGGCCAAATCAAATTATGAGGCTTTGAAGATAAACTTTAGGAACCACAAGATATGATTAATCAAACTTAGTTAGTTTATCGCCCTAACTGGATCACACCGCAGAGATGGTCATGGGCCACACTATATAATGAACTTACTCTTTTAACAAGATGAAAATGACATCGAATCTGTCACACAGCTATGACATAATTGAAACTCAACCCTCCTTAGTGATAGTCAATGAATATCTGTTTGAAACGAACAGATTCAGAAGTCACTGCATCATTGTTGACGACCCTGGTGATAATACTGTACGGTCACTCAGCTGTAAGGCCATACGGTGGCAGTAGTGGTTAGCATCCTTGCATCAAAATCAGTTGCCCACTGGTTCCATCCCCATTCGTTCTGTTTGGTTTGCATGTTCTTCCCGAGTGTGCATCGATTTCCTCGGCTAATTGGATGCTCTAAATTGACTCTGAGTATGAGTTTGAGTGTGCACGGCTGTTCGTCTCTGGATGTGACCCTGTGAGAGTTCACAGCAGTTGAGTTGAGTTAGAAATTATTAAGTTCCCCTTCACACTAAGTGCACAGAGACAAAAAAGTGCTGACACGGGATAAACACATTTGGAAAATGCACTGCTGATCAGCACAAAAACATATGTTTCCATTCATGTTGAGACAATAACTATATCCTACTGTGGTGGTCATTTCTTTTCCGCCTTACCCCTGCTTCCTCAGTGCATTCATGCAATACAGCCAGGACTGCACATGTGCACTCATGCATATTGCAGAATCGGTTCCCTTCGTGCCTCCTCCACATTCAAACCCTCTTTCCTGCCATT